GCACCCACACCGTCATCAGAGGTCTGCCCCGACAGTACTATCATAGCAACAGTACAATCATGGAAGTACCTTTGCAAGAGATGGGAGGAGGAGGGGTAAAAGTCGCTTCGCGTGGAAGGTCAAAACTTATGTAGAATAGTATTTAATACTGTATATATAGCAGAAATAGGACGTTATTTTTGAAACTTTTTTTGTTAATATCTTTTTAACGAAGGGCGAGCGACGGCTAGTTGTTAAGGCAAAGTTACTCAGGGTCATGACCTTGATAACGTATGTCAAGGTCAAGAAGATCGGGGCTGCTTCTGTTATTCCGGAGATTTACCTTTTTTTCGTTAAAACAGAAATTCTATGCTTTAAAAAATAAAGTTCTCTGCTCTAAAAACACAAAAATTATATAGAAAATTATATAAGAAAACATTGCGCCGTTAAAGCAGAGAATTTATTTCATCGGAACACAGTCGTGTGTGTGTGTGTGTGTGTCCAAAAGTTAGGTTTTATTAATGAATTTTTTTGTTAATAATTTTTTAACAAACAACGTGCAACGGCTAAAATTTGTTGACGGTCACGACACATACGTCTAGATCAAAGAGTCATTGGAGGATAGTCTCTTATACTGCATAATTACCTTATTTCAATATCACATAAAATATCTTGACTTGATATTTTCCTACAATATTAACATAAAAATTTTACGTGATAAAGCATGTGACTTTACGACTATGTATTCATTATTATTTTTTGGTATCGTAGATCTAATTATTTAGATTTTATAATAAAAATAATAAATTATAAGGCTCTATGTGTATAAAATAGAGTATAATAGAATAAGAGCAAAGAGCCAGTAATAACAATCAATTCAAATTTAAAAAATAATAATAATCATATGTAAATAAAGTAACAAAAAAATTTAATATAATAAATAAATTAATAAATAATACAAAATAAATAATACATACGTTTCGACTTCGATCGGGTCATTCTCAATGTTACATTAAAAAAATCTTTAAACGGTGATTAAATTACAAAATTAGCTTTTACAAAAATTAATTTAATTAATCAAATAATAATAATAATAATTAAATCGTTGTAATTGTGATTCTGCATTTTTCACTCTGTTCAATATTATAAGTTAAACGTTAACAATAAAAAGACCATCTTAGTCAAATAATAAAAAAAAGATGAGAGGAGCGTGTCTAATGTCATCCATTTTTTGATGGCACAATTTACTTTCTTTTAAACAATTTTGCAAATAATTTGATATCGTTAAAGGGACACATCTGAACTTGACGGTTTCATATGATGTAATGAATGATATCAAGTTATTTGCAAAATTGTTTAAAAGAAAGTAAATTGTGCCATCAAAAAATGGATGACAATAGACACGCTTGTCTCATCTTCTTTTTATTATTTGACTAAAATAAGATGGTCTTTTTATTGTTAACGTTTGACTTATAACATTGAATAGAGTGAGAAATGCAGAATCACAATTACAACGATTTAATTATTATTATTATTTGATTAATTAAATTAATTTTTGTAGAAGCTATTTTTGTAATTTAATCACCGTTTAAATATTTTTTTAATGTAACATTGAGAATGACCCGATCGGAGTCGAAACGTATGTATTATTTATTAATTTATTTATTATATTAAATTTCTTTGTTTTTATTTACATATGATTATTATTTTTTAAATTTGAATTGATAGTTATTACTGGCTCTTTGCCCTTATTCTATTATACTTTGTTTTATAATAAAATTAATAAATAATTAAATTAAATTTATATCCGCTCAAATAAATTTCAAATTAAATTTAATATACCTCCCAGGTCAAAAACTAATTGAGCTATACTAGTTGTTAGAAATATATATAAATTTATTATTAATAATTACATCGGTATATGTATACGGAAAAGTTTCGACTTCACAGAGTCCTCAACAATCGCAACCGAATATTACCTTAGACGCCGGTGCAAATTATTAAATCAAGACTCGACATAAAGCAATATATGTATATTTCAACAATTTCGAGAATTTTGCGAATAACAATAAACATCTGATAGCGAGTCGACGTAGTAATACTCTCCGCAATATTTATGTAATATATATAATCACTCTCCCCCCAGCTTACCCACTTAATAAATAATGTTTTTTTTTTTATAGATATATTCTGTTGTGTTTCATTGCTTATTTTCAGAGAATTGCTGAGATAATCCATTTTTTAATTGTAAATACAATTGTGTTTAAATATAAACATGTTAACTATAAGCCTTGTCAAATGTTTCAATGAATTATGGATAAACATTCCTCGAAACAAGTATGATAATCACTTACATACATATTATATTATATAATAATTCTTTGATAAAAACTCCCGTACAATTAAAAATTAACTTGGAAAGAACAAGAGCACTAGGAGTTAGGCGCAGATAACTTTACGCAAACGCTGATATTTATCAAGCAAAACTTATTTATTACAAAAATTATTCTTACATGTTTCGACTCAATTTTGTAATAAATAAGTTTTGCTTGATAAATATCAACGTTTGCGTAAAGTTATCTGCGCTTAACTCCTAGTGCCCTTGTTCTTTCCAAGTTAATTTTTACATACATATTATAGTAATTATATAATTATTTAATTATTTAATCTATATAAAATAATGATAATACTTACAACAAAGTTAAGGGGATTCTAAAGCAAAAAACTATAACGAAATCGCCAGTTTTACAACACATTGATGTATCTTTTACATAGGGGAAACCGGGGCGGGTTGTTATACGGGGTAGATTGTCAAAATGCTTGTAACTCAATTAATACATAGTAGAAAAATCTCTTTTTTTGACTGTTGATTGCTGATATAATATTAATTTGTTGTGTAAAATAATTTGCACCAAAAATATTGCATATATTATTTACAATGACTTTTAAGAAATGAAGTTGGTGAGTAAATTTTTCTTACCACCTATTTTGTTGTCTGAAAAGTCTTTGACATTATTAGTCGCAATAACCTTGTATTTATAGGCAATGATATGGTAAATTTTTCTACAATTAATTAATCATTCTCCCAAAAAATTTTGTGATCACAATCTCTTTTATTAAAAATGATTATGTGGGGTTGACCAAAAATAAGACGGGGTTTGGCGACAATTAATTTTAGAATCTTTAGCTCGACACGTGTTTAGAAAATATATTCTTACAAATACCCTCATATTATATTTCATATAAATGTATGTTTTTTCATTTTTCATATAAATACAGTATAAACACAAATTAATTATTTTATGATTAAAATAACTATTTTATTTGTATTAATATTATAATTAATATTATTTCTCAAAATATAGAATTAACATTAAAATAAAAATTGTAATTTTTATGTATTGTCTGTAATAAATATGCTACTGCCAATCCTAGAACGTGTGACAATCCACCCAGAACACGGGTCTAATTGTCACATTTTCGCAGCTTCATTTAAAATTAAATAACTTATTTGTACGATATGAAAAATTCAAGAGTAAATTTGTCTAATACCTAAAGGATACATTATAACATGTATAATATTTCAAAATCAGGTATCCACTATTTTCTAAAAATCACTAATCAAAAACTGTGATAACTAGCCCCGGTCTCCCCTACTACCACATTAATATCTCACGCAGCTCAGTGATGCACGCAGTTGCATTACCTGTCAATTTTTGTATCGTAAATTCGTCGCGATAAAGTGTCTAAGTCTAAGCACTCGACGCTGTTTATTCGTGCAAACTACATGCCTGTGGATTACTATTTCTTAAGTACAGATTGAGCAACTTTTATATGAAACAAATGTTGTTACGATATGCAACGATTTGATAGCTCTGAGCTCTGAAGCGTTATATTGGACTAAAAAATGGTGAAGAACACAATTTTGAAATTTTTTATTGTTTTCAGCATAGATTTTACCTATTAATGCGTATACTTTAAGCCTGTAAAAGGATTTTCGAATCTGTGAATGACAAAAAAGTATTTACTATACAAAAAATTATATGGTTTAGTAATACAGACGACTTTAGGATCCCCTTAATCGTGTGAAATACAATATATATATAAATTAATAGTTACAGACGTTTCGACCCTAATTTTGGGTCGTTCTTAATGTAAATTTTGATAATTATCGAGGATTCCGTGTAAGAATTATATATTAAAAATTATCGAGCGTTATGATTACTGTCTTTGAATCATCATTAGGCTATTGTTCAAAATTTATCAACTTCAATATCATTTGTCGTATTTATAATAATTGGATACTCAATCTAAATCTCGTAATTAAAATTGAATTCAACATAACTATGGTCCGTTATAATCACACAACATATATATTATAACGGATACACATGCTCTTAAAATGTCGAAACATCTGTAACTATTAATTAATATATATATTGTGTATTATATACGATCAATTGTGTCGCCTTTCATTGTCATTATCATTCATTTCAATTTAATCTTTGTAGCCTTTCTTTTTAAATATTAATTATTATTTAATTACATATTATCAATAATATCAATCTTATAAGTTTTTATCTATACGCTATAAGTAGACGATAATGCGTGACTAGAAGATTAATCTTACTTTTACGTTTAATATTTTACATTTGATCAGTTAAAAAGAAAGCTTGATCACTATTATTACAGATTGTCAAGAAATATCATATACGTCAATAGAATTGCTAGATCAATGTCATCAGTAGATCTTAAAAAAGTTGAACATTTCACAATTATGAAAAACTTGTGGTGGGACGAGAACGGCCCGGTAACTGCCCTTCATTCATTCAATCCGTTCAGAATACAGTTTGTGAAAGATGGATTGGTAAACATTAAAATACAAAATTCAAATCTTCCTTTGAAAGGCATTAAAATTGTGGATGTTGGCTGTGGTGGAGGTATACTAACTGAGGCTTTAGCTAGAACAGGAGCCCAAGTAACTGGAATAGACGTATCGGCAGAATTAATAAATGTTGCTAAAGAGCATTTAAAATTAGATCCCAACATACCAGGAAAAGTGAATTACATTCACACAACCGTGGAAGATTTTGCTCAGAGGGAGAGCAAAAACAGCACATACGATGCTGTTGTAGCTTCTGAAGTTTTGGAGCATGTATCAAATCCAGAACTATTTTTAAAGGTACAATATTATAATCAAAGATTTATGACATACAAATATTACATAAAAATTAAATGTTTTCTAAATATTGTGTATAGGAATGTGCGAAAATTGTAAAACCTGGCAAATCGATTTTTTTAACTACAATAAACAGGACTCTAATATCTTGGTTATCTATTGTTGTAAATGCTGAATATATATTTAGATGTGTACCTTATGGTACTTTAAAATGGAATAAATTTATTACTCCTCGTGAAGTTGAACATATATTAAAGAATTGTAAGTTTTTATTCTTGTTATTCTAAAAAAATGTTTAAAGAAAACATTTTATTACGCAAAATTATATCTTAGAATTATATGTATATAACAAGTTCGCAATTATCCATATAAATATTTCTTAATTTTTTCTTTTTGCAGATGATTGCGAAACGAAATCGATTCGTGGTATGAAATTTAATCCAATGTTAAAAAAATGGTCTCGGTCGTCAAGTGTATCTACTATATATATGCTTCAGGCAGTCAAAAAATTTAGTGTGTAAATATTATATTTTGCAAAAAGTTTTTTTTACAATAAAATAGAATAATTTTTTATTAAAAATTGTGTACTGTAATCACATTACTGACTAAGCTTTTAGATGAACTACATGTATATTATGTGCATGCATATAAAAGCATAAAATTTATAATACATAAAATATATTTTTTGGGGTGATATATTCAAACAACATTGAAAGATTGATGTATAAATTCAATAATATTTAGTATTTGAATAGTTTATGTATTCTATTCCACACACACACACACACACACACACACACACAC